CCAACCCAACCCATGTAAATGTTGAAACCCAACCCAACCCAACTCAATTATGTGTCGGTCGGGTTGGGTTGGGTTGGTCGGGTTGAGATCCTCGAGATAAGAAAGTTTATTCGAATAGAAATCTCAAGAATCTTAATTACTGAGATTGGAGCAAATGATTTAAGAAAATCCTCTCAGAAACAATTCATAATCAACTATCATTTAGTCTGTTCAGAAAATAGAGAGATTCCTTCAAAAGACAATCCATTGTTATTACTTTCTAAACAGAGCACGATTGATCGATAACTAATATCAAGCATAGTCAGTACTACACTACATTCCTTTACTCAATAAGCCACACGTGAAATACACTTAATTGGTAATTTCCCACAAATTTTTATTAATGACACCCCATACTTGGTTATCCATTCGCTAGGGAATCCAAAATTCACATTTCCAGAAAAGAAATTCAACGACATTCACAAAAAATAACATCAATAAGTGAGCAACCAACCTTCCAATCTTCCACAATCGGCCCTAAAACATTCTGAACAGTCCGGATCACCATCACCTCCATTTCCTCTTTCATCATCCTACAATCCAAAAATCAACAATTTTTTTTTTTGCTAAATTTGTCGCTCACCTCTTTCAGATTCAAATCTTCCACAATCGGCCCTATAACTTTCTGAACAGTACGGATCACCATCACCTCCATTTCCTCTTTCATCATCCTAAAATCCAAAAAAGAAAGAAAAGCAAATATGAAAATTGCCATTAAGAACAAGAAACAACCAATTTCAACAACAATTTAAAACAAATAAGCAGAAACCCATTATCAGTTTCTCAATTTAATTTCCAAATTAAGCCAAGAAATGCATATAAGCTCGAAAAGCTATAGAAGGAAATCAAGTAGAATACCCATTGACTTACTTCCTTAAAGACTTCCTTAAAGCCACAAGTAAATGCTCAGCATCTGAACTGGTATCCTGTTCTGATTCACCATTATTAGCACCCTCTATCTGTGGATTAACCTGCATTTTTAGTGGAAGATACTGTTGATTTTGATTCGTAGGCAAAAACAAAAAGTAGTTAAAATCTAAAACTTCTATTCGGTGAAGTTGAACTGATGGTCAGTAGATAATAATAATAGGAGATATAAAAAGAGGAAACCTCGTTGACTTCTTCAGGAGGCAGCGGCAGGTGAAGATCCGAAGAGAACTGTTGAAACTTCGGCAGATCGACTGCCAGTTCAATGCAGCACTTGGGACAATTGAAGCGAGACAGGCCGTGGGGAACATTAAGCAAGGCCTTGCAGTGAGCACAAGGCAGCTGTATCTTCGTTGGTGGGTGGGGGAGGGTTGGGACTTGGTATGGTCGGAGAGGAGAAACGGTTGGGTCGCCTGAAGGCGATTTGAGCGAGAGAGACGAAGAGAGCAGTAGAGGTGGGTGTGTGGCTGCTGGACTTGCACTTGCCTTTAGTTTTAGGGTTTTCTTTTAAATTGTTTTTTTTTCCTCGGGTTGGGTTGGGTCGGTTTCTATCGGGTTTGGGTTGTTAACCCACAACCCGACCCAACCCGACCCGACTACCCACCCAGAAACCCGAAACCCGCCCAAAAAATGTAAAAAACCGACCCAAACCGATCGGTTTGGGTCGGGTTGGTCGGTTTGGTTTGGGTTTTGCCCACCCCTACCCCAACCCCAACCCACCACCGTCGGCGAAGGCGATCCACGCACAGACAAGGCCGCACACGACACTGTCGACATGACTGCACACAACCAACAGCTATTCCCACCCTCCTCCACTTCGCGGTGACGTTGCTGTTCGAAAGCAGCGTACCCACCCTCAACTTCGCAGCAACCCTCCGCCCATAGTTGGTGTAATGCGATTTGGCCTAGAGATGTGAGCGATTTGGCCGATCGGTGGATCTAGGTGGCGGTGGCTATGGTGCGGTGCAGATAATGGTGTGGTGGTCGGCGTTTGTTTGTGGTGGT